GTTATCCCTGGTCAGTCTAGTTCTTCTCTCTCATCAGATCAAACAATGAGCTTCATACAAAAATGCTGCAAATTAAATTGTTCCTCACATTATTTATTATGGAACGCCATTCTGCCATGCGAATTGCTAGTTGCGAATTGCTATTTGCGAAATAACAAATGCGAAATAATATTTGCTAATGATAAATACGAAATGCTAATTGGTTTAGACAATATTTTATTTCAGTCAAATATATGTACACAATATATTACAATAAGATGCAAAAAGGATTGAGTAGAAAGCTTAGAAATGCTTATTGGCACAAGGTTATTTCAGATCACCATTAATTCGGACCGCTGTCTTCCAGTAAGGTAGGTAGTAAACAGATATTTGCGAAGTAAAACAAGATAAACAGTAATAAAGAATAGTTTTCATATGTTTGGGGTTTTAAAGCTTCAATTAAGGCGTGTTGTAGGAGTAGATCTACGACAGTATCCTCAAAGTACTCAATGCAGGGGTACTTTGTACCAGGAATGACAAGATATATTTATTATATATTAATAATATTTACATAAGAAATTTCTATTCTATGCAAGTGTTTTTCCTATTACTTTTATACAAAAAAATGCATATTTTGAAGAAAATTTATGTTTTATTAGCCATATTCACATAAATGTAACCAGTTGTTTTGCTAACGATTTGGACTGAACATGACATTTTGAATGTGTGTGCCAATGCTTACCAAATGTTTATTCTTTTACTGTGTGATAAATATTGAATAGAACTGTAGTATCATTAGCAGTAATTGACAATTTACACATGTTCTTAACTTTATCAATTGTTAAAAATTCATTTCCGATATTTCGCTTGTATATAGTGTAAATAGTTGTTAAAAATAATAAATACCCAAGCTACAGTTTTAAGTACTTTTGATATGAAAATGTCTGTAATGGATTATGCTTTGTGAATATTGAATCATCTCAAAATAACCAAAATGTTACAAATTGTTGGAAATTCAATAAGACGCAACATCTTAAGGAAACATTTACTTTGTATTTGCTTGATTGCTAATATAGATAATTATACTTTTCCAAAACATTTTATAGATAATGCCTTACTTTAGAAGAACTAAAATGGAAACTCCTGTCCTTAACAGCATCAAGAAGGATTCCAATAAGTTCTCTAGTTGTTGCAACAAAAAAGAAAATGAAGGTATGATTTTTAGCTCCAAGAATAGTTCAAGATATTGTACTCATCCTTGTGTCAAAAATCGTGTCAGCTTCACAGCTTGGTTAAATTTTTGCTGCTTATCATCTCAAGAAAATATTGTCCTTCGTGAAATAATTTGTGACAGTATGTGCAGTCTTAAAGAATGGTGACCCCTCATTACCGAACAATAATTATCGACCAATATCTTTATTTTGTTGTATAGGAAAGGTACTTGAGCGTATTATATTTAAATATGTTTTTAACTTTTTTCGTGATAACAAATTTCTTTCCTCTGTACAGTCTGGCTTTACACCAGGAGACTCAACAGTTAATCAGCTTACTTATTTATACAATACCCTTTGTAAGGCTCTCGACGACGGATTAGAAGTAAGAACAGTATTCTTTGATATAAGTAAAGCTTTCGACACGGTATGGCATGATGGTCTTCTCTATAAATTAAAAAATGCTGGATTAAATGGAAAATTGCTGAACTGGTTCTCTGATTATCTTTCTAACAGACGTCAATGTGTCGTTCTTCCAGGAGCTCATTCTAATCGGTCAACTGTAAATGCAGGAGTTCCTCAAGGATCTATTCTTGGGCCTCTGTTGTTCATGGTATACATTAATGATATTGTTGACGATTTAAACTCAAGCATACACCTCTTTGCCGATGATACTAGTTGCACATAATTGTTGACTATCCAATAGCTGCCGCGACAACTCTTCAATCTGATATTGACAAAATTTCGAGTTGGGCTGATAAATGACTTGTAACATTCAACCCTTCTAAATCGGAATCTATGATCATGTCACGCAAAACAAATAAGCCTTATCATCCGCCACTTCTAATGCATGATCAGCCTATCTCCTCAGTAAATAGTCATAAACATGTTGGTCTTTACTTTTCGGATGATTGCTATTGGCATGTACATATTAATTCTACCAAAGAGAAGGCTTGGAAAAGAATTCATATAATGAGAAAACTTAAAATTACACTAGACAGAAGATCACTAGAATTTATATATCTATCATTCATAAGACCTCTCATTGAATATGCAGATGTAGTCTGGATCAAGTGTACACAATATGAAAAACTTGAACTTGATAAAATTCAACATGAAGCCGCCCGTATAGTCTCAGGGGCCACTAAACTTGTATCTCTTCAGGAACTTCAAAGAGAAGTACTTTGGGAATCCCTCAAAAGCCGTAGACAGAATCACAAACTTATTTTGTTTTACAAAATGAAAAACGGTCTCACACCAGATTATTTATCCTCCTTAGTTCCACCATCAGTTGGAGAAACGTCTAGGTACAATTTACAAAATGCTTCTGACATGCAAACAATACGTAAAAAACTTCTCTTTACCATAATGCATTTCTGCCATCTACTTTGAGAGATTGGAACTTACTATAAACAGAGGTACAAAACTCTATAAAAAATGCCCCAAATACTATTACATAGGTGAAAGAAAATGGCAAGTCATGCATACACGGCTCCGAACAGAATGTAGCTCTTTAAACCATCACTTATTCAGAAAAAATTTGTCCCCCTCACCAAATTGTCAATGTGGTCTCCTGGAAAGTTACCACCGCTTCTTCTTTGAGTGTCACTTCTATAATGATATCAGACTCAGACTTTTTGATGCTGTTTCTAATATCTGTACTATAACACTCCATACCTTACTAAACGGAGACCAGAATCTTAGCCATGACATTAATTCTAAAATTGTTCAAGCAGTTCATGTATATATACGTGAAAGTAACCGATTTTCATGAGCAAATAATTTGCCAACTTGACCATTCCGAATGAATCTTCTTAACCTTCTTTCTAATTCTTTTCAATTATTTATATTCTTTAAAAAAAACATCTTTTGAACAATAGCTAAAATCTTCGATTTTTTTCGTTTCGAATATGTAAAAATTAACTTCATTGTTTCAAACAATATTGCAAACACTGTCAAAATTTAACTGCATTGTACAAATATGTAGGAGAAGACCTTCATAAGCTTTATAGCTTTCGGCTCCAATCCTTTTTTATTCGTGTATCTAATTATTGTAAATGTATTAACAACATGATGTACTTGTATCATTGTTTCAAATAAACTATGTTTAAACTAAACTAATTTGTGACAAAGGTGGCTAAATGCAAACACAAAGCTGTATTTTGACTTCCATACAAAAGTGTACTTATTGCCGAAATGCAAAAGAAGCAAAGGTGGCTAAGCTATATGAATATTAAGCAAGTTTTGGAAATTGTTACAGGACATCAAAAAAAGCTTCTGAAACACAAAATTGATAGCATTTTTTTGGGCTTAATGGGCCTTTAATTATTATGTTTTTGTCAAGAGCTTAGCCTTTTATTTTTGAAACTGTATACACAGGCTTCAATGGGAGCATTTAATTGAATTAAACTATTTGTAAGAGTTGAAATGACAGGGTTATCAATGTCTGTGTACATTATATATGAATTTTTTCCATCATTTGTACAAATACTAAATATTTATATCTTCTTATTTAACTCACAAACATCTTATATAACTAAACAATAATAACGAATCAAGGATAAAATTTATAAGTAATACTGTAGGTTTTTTCTTTTGCTGATTTGTTTTTCAAACATTTTTCTGATTGACTTAGCTATGTGTTAGAAATATATGGACGTGTTTTTGAAATCTTGAAAGTGCTGTATAATAACTATACTGTAATAACATGTTTTAATATTATTGAATCGATGAAGTAAAAGACTTTACAAGTTAAAATCATGTTATTGAAATAATACATGCTTCAAAGAATTACTTAAACATGTTGGTTGGAATTTATAAACTTGCCAATTTATTAAGTATACAATCATGTAGTTAAAGTGTTTGTTTGTGATGTAAGAATAGTTTTGTTTGTGTGCACTAAATTTAAGTGTGTTTGTTAAGGTATTGGTGCTTACATGTAAATGTTTATATAAATGTATATACAAATATATATATATATATATACATGTATATACATTTATATAAACATTTACATGTAAGCACCAATACCTTAACATATACATGTATTAATATGGTAACTGAACTTAAATACAAAAACAAAAGAACATGTCAGTTTTGTGTCTTTTATTATGCAAGTTTACTACAGTAATAACAATATTACCTTACCCTCATATTTGATTGGTAGTTTTATTTTATTTTATTTTGAATATGTACATTTGCAAGTAACACAACAAACAGTAAAATACTCAATGATAATTTACATATTCAAGGTAAACACGATAATAACTTAATGAATATACAAAGAAAATATCAAGATATCACATACAGTAAGCATTTAGCTATCACAGAAAGTTGAGCTGCCATATTTTAATATCAAGTAACTCAGAATTTTAAACATGATATATTTATACATGTTTTACTTTTGATTTACACTGAAACAAAATAGCTGAAAACATAACAACTTGTGTACAGATTTACATAACATTCTAGGCTGGTACAAATGAACATGAAAGATGAAAAGCTTATTTCCTACAGAAGCATTGGTCATTGATAATACAATATCAACAGTATTGATTGTAGGTGTGTCATATATATTAAAGAAATGAAAAAGTAAAATTTAATAATAAAAAAAATGAATCGACCAACGCTTTTTGAATCTTAAAATTACCCTGGTGGGATATAAATTCAGATATCTGACATAATGAAAATTTCATATTAGAATGATATAAAACAATGTTATATATCGTAATAATATAGATTTCAAACAAGGAATTGTTTTATAATATTGTACATAGTTATTTGCCTTCTTATTGCTGTGTGCTTCACCGAGCCAGAGGTATTGCTATTGCTATATTTGGTAAGATTACTTCTTTTATAATTACTTCCGTATTTTTCCCGTTCAAGTTCTCCTTGCATTCATTGTACTTTTTAAGTAATTATTAACTTTTTTCTTTTGTTTGATATATTAACGGCGTTAAACTGTGGGGTGTGCATACGACGTTGGGGGTTGTTGGTTTGCAGCTGCCCCGGATGAAGAATATGGCGGGGGTTCTAATGAATACACTGGTGGTCGTACATATGGTGCAGGTGTGACGACAGAAGTCGCTTTAACACCACAACAAACTTTGTATAGAATGTAGCCAGCACCAACCAGCAGGGCTACACCAACACAAGCCCCGATAACGGCGCCCACGATAAGTGGCGTATTGTCAGTTTCTTCGTCTGCAAAAATATAGAAATATAAAAAATATATATATAGATAAATATAAAAAAACAAGGTAATGTACCTTGAAATTAACGATTTTTCAGACGTACGAAATATCAGAAATACGAAGTATCAAGTTTGCTATGAAAGTAGAAAACTAAACACAATATAATGATTAAACATTTTGTAGTTATAGTTAAAAATCAACCTTGCTCTTTTTCTTCGCATACATTGTTGATACAGTCAAGAGAAGTGGTTGCACACGTTACATTGTCATCACAATATCCACCTAATCGACCATCTGTAAAATTATTGTAAAACTGAAAGATAAACTAGCTTCATATATAATATCTTGTAAATATTTAAATTTACTTACTTATTTTGAACTTCATAAAACTCGAATATTGACGATTATTGACTTGCCCCATAAGCTACACTATTTTTTCTCTACAGCCTAAGTATTCTGTATCTAAATCAAATGCACATGTGTGCATTTGTGCGTGCGTGCGTATGTTTGTGTGTGTATTTTTTCAATACCACCCCCCCCCCCCAAAAAAAAAAAAAGAATTGCACAAAAGATATTTTTTCCAATATTTGAAAGTAATTACTACTAAATACGGGATTCTCAAAAATAAATATTTTAATAATTAATTACCCTGTTTACAATATATATCAATTACACGATATCCGTCATTGCAGACGACACAGATTTTACCGTCCTGTAAACAACCACCATCTGTGAGAGCACTACATTCTGATGAATCTATGCACGAACCACCAAATTCTCCAGCTGTAAAAGGCAGAATCTTGTATCATGCTAAAAAGACTTTAAAATCAGTCATGTAAGTAAAATACCAACAGAAATTGAAATAATTCACCTTAAAAAACATGAAATCATTTACCAGTAGAAATTGAAACATCTTACAATCAGAAATTGGAATCGTTTACCAAAAAAATGAAAGCATATACCAACAGAAATTGAACTAATTTACTAGCAGAAATTGAAAAAAAATTAAGCCTATTTTGAAAGACTTTACCAACAAAAAATGA